GATCTTAGCTCTGGTATTCTCCACATCCTTCTGTGGAATCTCCCATCTGGACTTGGGAGGGTCTAGCCCATACACTGTGCAGATGTTCCTGTCCACAATGACAGCTCCTTGGTTGTGCCATTCAGTGTATGCTGGTCCTGCCTGCATCTTACGCCCTGCCACTGTGTTGGGCTGTCTCTGAGGCCTCTCTGCACAGTCTGCCCCTTGGGTCCTGTCTAGTGTGGTAGACCCCTGCTTCTATGGATCTGGTGCTTAGTTCCTGGTCATGTGCTGCTATGATCAGTGCCTCAGAGTTGTCTTTTAGTGCAGCCCTTTCCAGCCACTAGTAGACTTTCTCAATGTCAACCCCCTCAACCATCTGTCGTTGGCTCATTCCATGGAGAGTCTTGTCTTGCCCTGGCACTTCCTCCACTTGAACTTCCCCCCCGTCTGCTGCTGCCTCAGGCCTTCTCTCAGCAGCTTCTCTTTGGGTGCCATCGTACTGATGTACTCATCAGTGTACATATAAATGTATAGAAAGTCAAATTATGATGCTGCAAGAAGCTTTATTATGAAAGGGTAAATCAGTATGAGATCAGAAGGCACTACATGTGGCAAAGAACAACAGACACCAGGGGCAAAATGGACAATGTTGTTCTGTTGGTTTGGTCACAGCCATTCAAGGAGGGACTTTCTAACACATTAGAAACAGTGTATTGAAATGAGTAAAGGAGGAGCAAATTGAGAATGATTGGGAGGGGGAACCTTCCAGCTTTAGTAGCACACCATCTCTCCTATCGGTGAAAACTGGAAAAGATGGGGGCTGGAAGAACTTAGCAAGCATCACATATGACTAGATTGACACAGCAGACCAAGATGGAGATCTCGTTTTCCTTTCCAAGTGGTTCCGCACCGTGGGTCAATGTTTAGCAAGGTCCACAATAGTTTGGCAGGCATCTCCGGGAATATCTTCTCCAAGTCCCGTAGCTCCCGTAGCCAGAATACCCAAGCCGGCCGTATCCCCCGTAGGATGACCCACCAACGAAGCTCAGAGGGTGACTGTAGCTACACGGTGTCACTTGGCCCACAGTGACAGGTTCGGTGGTGGCAGACAGAATTGGACCCGGGATGGTCACCACCGAGGCCGGGGGCTGGAGGATGACCTCGGACCCGGTGAGTTGGCTGGAACAAGTGATGGGGCCACCACCGTAGTAGCTGGACACAGCCCCGGAGAGGGAACTGGATCCATACGCTGGGACCAGCCCACAGGACCCACCACTGGAAGCACAAGACACATGGCAGACAGGCCCACAATAAGACATCTTGGTGTGATGTGATGAGATCTGAGAAGGAGGTAAAGCGAGAAATGAGCAACGGAGACCAAGCTAGAAAGCGAGAGAAGAAGCTGTCATGGTTTGTTACTTAAAATAGGAAGCAAAGTTGTTGTTACCTTCTGAAGGATGCTCGGCAGATGCTAGTAAATCAAGGTCCTTTCAAGACCTGGCTATTTTCCCACATAGTTGGGTCCAATTGAATGGAGTCTCCTTTGGGTTGCTTTTACTATTTTTCATATGTGATATTTATATAGTCTGTTGGTTTGCAGTTATCTGGCTTTGTGTGTGTGTGTGTGTGTGTGTGCAAGCGCGTGTGGCTCCTTTATGTCTTCCTATTGTATGCCCCCGAGAGTGACATTGTTTGAAATGGGTGGCCTTATAAATCTAGCAAATATTTTAAAATAAATCAATCTCAAAGCCTACAAATTAGTCAAATGCCACCTATATAGGTGACTGGGCGTGTATGGGTATAATTCTGAGCAAAATGGTTTTTATTTATATTTTCCAAGGGAATGCTATACCCACAGAAACGTCCAGATCTTTTTTATCCTCAGCATTAAAAGTCTCCCAGGCATCTGGATTGGGAAATAATTCTGTCCAAAAATCCAGAGAGTATTTAAGAAGATTGAATGACGCGACCTGGCTTACCGGGAGAGACATGCATGCACCGGCTTGCAAAAGTGAACGGCTTGGCGAGTTCGGTACCTCAAATCTCCTCATTTATTGGGTTTTTTTAAAAAAATTAAAAAATAAAAGTCTTTGGAAAAAAGTCCCACCGATGGGACATAGGAAACTTGCACTCCAAGCGTGTGTGAACGGTTGGACTTCTGAGGTACGACCTTCTGTCCATCCGTCTGCACATTCCCGTTCCAATCCAACGGTAGGCTAGAGAAGGTTGTTCCCCAGTTGGAACAATTTTTAGGAACAAGGAACAGGAACAACTAAGGAGACTACAGAATGATGGAGAGATGCTGGGGAGGGACCCACAATACGAACAATTTTACTGCACCGGTGGAAAAAGTATTGAAAAAAATAAATACATCTAAAAGCACCTGGAGAATAAGATTGAAATGACAAAGCCCTTTCACCACTGCCTTTGTAAAGACTTCTGGTTGGCTCAGTGTGTTTAAAAGTTCCTTCCTAAAGGGGAGGAAACCAACTTGGGTTTTGTTTTGTCTTTTTAAATACAGATGTGGAAGCGACTGCAAAACAGACAGGTTGCCCAAAGCTATCCAGGAGAGGTGTACCACCTCCATTCCTCCTTTTAGGTTCTCACTCCTTACATCTTGAATATCTTCTATGTCTCTTTCCACTTTTTATTTTACACGCTTGATCATGACTGTATCCCATCCCCTTATGATGGTCAAGGACCATGATAAACATTGATTTGATCTGAACTTTCCAGATGGATGAATCGGAGATGAGACAGGTGGGAAAGAAAAGACCATGGGATCTTCAAGCCTTCAGCTGCAACGTTCTGGATAGACTTATGGTCCAACCCACCAGGGAGCCCTTGAAGTTCTTCACCAGGACATACAATTCTTAGCCCCCACCATAAAAATCTTTCATGGGCAGGAGAGACGCACGCGGCCAGAACTCCATGGAGGACAGAGCAAGCAAAGACATGGGGAACGTCATCTCAACTCATACAAAGAGATGGATTGGATGGTACCTTACCTGGTTCTTGGAGAAGCAGAGCAGAGGAAGCGATAGGAACCTGAAGATCACTGTGGGAACTCTCCTGGCTTTCAAGTCCTTTTATATGGTTCTCCTGACCTCGTATGGGGTGAGGGGTGAGGGGTGGGAGGGGTGGGAGGGCCACCACCCCCCCCCCACACACACACAGGCCTGTCCTAATGAGCCTTCGGGGAGAACAGGAGGAGAGACGAATTGAGCTATCCAATTATTCTTGATTTTGTTTACCTCTCGGACCATTTGGCATCCAGTAGACTATCTACCCTGGGTTACATCAATCCAGAAAAGTTACACCCTGAAGATAGGCTGGTCTTGCATCAGCTGAAAGGAGAAACCGCTTCT